CAGACGTGTACCGACACCTGAAGAAAGTGAAGATACCTACGTTTAGTGGTGATAAAACAGCATACAGAACATGGAAAGCAGCATTCTCGGTTTGCGTAGAGCAGCAAGATTTATCGCCAGAGCTGAAATTATTGCAACTACGTCAGTGTTTGACGGGCTCAGCATTGAAAGCGATAGAATCTTATGGATACTCAGCAGCAGCGTACACCGCAGCAATCAGGCGTCTAGAACAGAAGTTTGGTGGCGATAGAAGACAGACAGCAGTGCATACAGAGGCGCTGGCGCGGCTACCAGTGATACGAATGGAACGAGCTGCCCAGGATCTGGAGAAGTTCGCTGATCTTCTCCAAGTAGCTGTCATTCACCTAGAAGACGCCGGACGCAGCCAGGAACTTCAGGCTGGTGCATTCTATCAGCAGCTCCTGAAGAAACTGCCACAGTCTCTCTTGACGCAGTACTACCGCCAGATGACAGAAAGAGGTGAAGCGGAGACGGTATGCACTCTGCTGGCCTGGGCATTAAGGGAAGCGGACTACAGAACAACAGCACAGGAGACACTCACTGGCATCACCACACAGCCTGAGGGGACCGGTACACGCAACAAACAGACCTACAGAGAACAGCCAACAGCAGCAGCATTAGCAGCCTTTACGTCCCCGGCAAGTGCCAGTTGCGTGTTCTGTGGACAGAGTCATGAGACGGCCAGGTGCTCTGTCGTTACAAACACAGAGAAGCGGAAGGACATAGTTAAGAGCAACGGAAGGTGCTTTTTGTGTCTGAAACCGAACCACATAATCCGTCACTGTCAGTCGAAGTTGAAATGCGCCAAGTGCCAACGTCGACACCACACTACCCTGTGTGACTCAACATCTGACAGGCCATCACCTGTAACACCACCCACGTCGCGCTATGAAAAGAAGCCGGCCGCTAACAACCAGTCTAGGGCAGCATCGGCTCCAAGCAAGAAGGGACCGACCAACCCATCCGCCAGCAGCGTTACACTGTCATCTGTCAGTGCTCTGACATCATCTAGCAAGGACAACAATATGGTTTTGCTGCAGACCGCTAAAGCTATAGTTGCACCAGGCTTACCAGTCCGAGACAACGGGATCCCTGTGAGGTTGTTGTTCGACGGAGGGAGCCAGCGCTCATTCGTGACACGTGATGTGCAAAGGCGGCTGGACCTAAAGACAGACAGGCAGGAAGGCTTGAATGTCAATGCCTTCGGTGATTGCTCTGTTGGGGACAGCGGTTTAAGAGACGTGGTGAATCTGACCGTACAGAGTACGGAGGGAGACCCCCTGCAGCTGGAGTGTATCGTGATTGAATCAATTTGTGCACCAGTCCAGAACCAGCACCCTGCACAAGCAGTCCAGTGCTGCGGTGCGCTACAAGGCCTCACACTGGCAGACGACTGCGACGGCACAGCCACAATCGATCTATTGATTGGAGCCGACCAGTACTGGCAATTTATGATGGGCAAGGTGATCACGACGGCCTCTGGTCCAACAGCCATCCGTACGCGTCTTGGCTGGGTCTTGTCCGGTCCTGCATCAGGCCCAACAACTAGTACGACAGGTACATGCCTCGCTACTGAGGTGCACAGCTTAACGACGACAGCGCAGGTCCTTGATAAGCAGCTCCAACAATCCTGGGAGCTGGAGTCTCTTGGAATACATCCAATAACGGAGAATCAAGTCCACGCAACGCTACCTGACAACTTCCGAATCAGCAATATCGAGGAAGTCAAGAACCCGGAATTTGGTGATGTGAGAGATATACACTATGCGCCACATCAAGCCGTTGGTGGAGAAGATAGGACCACAACAAGAGTGCGTGTTGTGTACGATGCGTCATTCCGCTCAGGCAAGGGCTCGTCGATCGTCTGCCTCAACGCGGGACCCCACCTGCTGGAGAAGCCCCATCTGCTTGAGAAGCCCCCCTGGTGGGGCGGGTTCTTTGAGAGAATGGTGAGATGCGTCAAGCGTTGTCTCAAGAAGATCCTACACCTTTGATTGCAATATCATAAGTATTCGTTGTTGAGCTACAATACATGCATTCGATCAGCCTTATGTACCTCAACGGAGGGAGTGTTAGATATTGTACCTCAACGGAGGGAGTGTTAGATATTGCATGCGTCTTCACTCTGTACATTGACTCTTGATTTGACGGCTGCATGCATCTCTTGTATTTATGGCTACTGTGTGTTACCGTCGGACAACATTACGATTTATTGTTACATGTACGTTTTATGTCAAGTCGACCCTGTTCCCATTCGTTTTCTAGTTCTATACTTACTGCCATGACTTGTCCCGTTTATGGTTATACAGTCTTCTTCTTTTCCCGTCGTATTGCTTTCGTTTACCGGAGACTTCTACGGTATGTCTCTATTCGCCTCCACGATGTCCTTATCCTGACACTAGCATTTTCTGCGTCGCGTACGGCTGGTGGGAATATCTACCCCAGCCGTCGTGATGTAGGGCTTCCTCATCATAACTACTTGGAGGACAGTCACGAGTTTGAGTATCTCTGATACTAATGATAATGATTCTTACTGAAGTATGAGGAGAATTATTTCCGAGTGGAAAGACACTGAGTGTCTGTGTGTAATAACTAAATGAGCTCAACGAAGAGCCAAAACGTCCTTTAGGATTCTACTACTACTAGTACGGGCAGAACCAGAGTAGGATCTCTAAAACTCGCTGTGAACTGGCGAACTTTGGGATACATAGCACGCAGGCGTAGGTCAAGCCAGATGCGGTTGCACATCACGGCGTAGTATTGTGCGACTGCTTCTGCTGAGTCTCTTCAGCTGCTCAATTTGTTCATCCTTCTCGAGGAGTCGGCTCTCCGAATGTCCTGTGAGCTTCGTGTAGCTCTCAGCTAAGAGCGTCAGCTCCAGTGGGCCTTTTCTCAGAGGGCGAACCCAAGACGATAAGGATAACAGGCCGCGTCGACTCAAAACACGCAAGGTGGATAACGCCATCGTACCAGCAAGTTCTGCTCACAACTTTGGCAAGTCTTCTCACCCTTCTTTTATCCTCTCTCTTTCAGTCGGCCAAGAAAAAGACAAAAAAGTGAAGAGTTTTTAAACGGCGGTGGAAAAAGATTTGTATTACATGTCACTATTGGTATGGAGCTCGGAGCGATAATCTAATTTGGATAGTTTAACATACGCCACTTGCTTTTTGAGACAGGGAGGTGCAAGGGAGCAGCTGTGAAAATTTGAACCACAACACCCCCAAAGCAATCTACAATTATCGATGAATGGATTTTGGAAGAATAATGACTTGCTCAGTCCCAGAAATCAGCATAGGCAAGTATGAGGTGATTTGGAATTTTTCAGCTTTCAACAGCAAAGTTCGTGCGATTCTTGCCATGTACATGCACACGGGGAGTGGCCTGAGCAGTTCACACGTACGTGCGCAGCTCCTAGGTTTGCATGGTTACCACTTCTCAGCGTTCGCGCTTCACGTGCCTGGTCTCCAGGCTCGTTTCTATGATTCCCTACCTCCGTTTGCGATTAACAGCGGGCCGATATGTTCCAGAATGTTTGACTGATTCGAGGCCGCTGAAAACGAAAATCTGATGCTCCTGCCGAGGCACGGCATCCATCTGTTGATATGAACAGTCGGAAATGGCGCTACGCACAGCACCTGTTCCCAGCACAGCATGGCCGGCATCTATGGAAAGATACCGACCTCAGCTACATACAGGTCTGCCGGAATCGGTCCGGTCGGTCAGGTCATTGCTACGCAAACGTTTTGGCCACCAACGAGTGTTTACTGCTGAAGAGGTCGTGTGTGTGTGTGTGTGTGTGTGTGTGCGTGCGTGCGTGCGTGCGTGCGTGCGTGTGTGTGTGTATACCTGCCATATCATACACAACCTGTGAAAGGCTAGGGTATGGCCGGGCCGATCAAGAACTGCTTTCGCCTGTCCTGACTCCTGTACAGCATCGACCAGAGTGAAGTCACCAGGGGAGAAGTTTGTGCTGGGCTCGAAATCAGCGCAAAACAACCGCCCCGAAGGGCCCACTGTACCTGCAGTGTTCACCTGTCACATGACATCACTGCAGCTTTCACCTGTCACGTGACATCACTGCAGTGTTCACCTGTCACATTACATCACTGCAGCTTTCACCTGTCACATGACATCACTGCAGTTTTCACCTGTCACATGACATCACTGCAGTTTTCACCTGTCACATGATATCACTGCAGTTTTCACTTGTCACATGACATCACTGCAGTTTCCACTTGTCACATGATATCACTGCAGTTTTCACCTGTCACATGACATCACTGCAGTTTTCACCTGTCACATGACATCACTGCAGTGTTCACCTGTCACATTACATCACTGCAGTTTTCACCTGTCACATGACATCACTGAGCTCCCTATTATACTATAGAGGCTAGGAGATTACATCATACTTTTAGATGCGTTGGCAAAGTCGCGTCATAGCTTAATTTAACGAAACCGCCGGCTCACCCTGCTTACTTGGCACCCATAAGTGAATCTGCCGACTCACCCCCAGTATATTTAGCGACCATAAGCGGTTCCACTGGTTCGCCAACATGACATCATTTTAACATAATCTCCCCCCCCCCCCCCCTATTGGTTTCCCCACTGTAGAGTTATTGGTTTCCCCACTGTAGAGCGTGTGAGTCCACTGGCCTCGGCAGTACCTATTCTCTCCTTCAGTAATACATTGACTGCATTTACCAGAGTACAGTTAATGTGCTCGTGAAGTGTATACGTGCTACAGAAGTATATCAAAGTCACTATACTCAATCTGCGGACAGAACTGCTTCGTCCTTTGTGGACTCATCAGCGCAGCACAGAGGAAATGAGGCCGTAAAAGTCACTGTATATTATAACAAGGAACCGAATGTATATGGAGATATATACACCAGTAAGGGAGAGCATGCCTAAGACTGTAAGTGTGTATGGAGTGAGGTGTAATGCTACATATTGCCATTTATGCGTGATTATTGCAGACTCGGACAAGACCAGTGAGACAGATGTAGCGATGGATGATGATCAGGAATTCTGTGAGTTGTCAGCTGGCTGCATGTAGACTGTCTGTAACTCGTGCACCCATGTGTGCCTCTCCCCCCCCCCCCACCACCACACACACACACACACACACACACACACACACACACACACACACACACACACACACACACACACACACACACAGTACAATACAATACAATATGCCCATCCGGAGATGATAGCAGGTCCCGAAGGGACCAACTGGGTTCAAGTCACGAGCAGAATCGGGCGTGGCGAGTCAAGTCCTGGCGACGGCGATAGCGCTTTCCACAAGTGCAAACGAAGTCTAAGGTGACGGGCTCGGTCGGGGGAATGGTGCTGCATGCTGATCTCCACTCTCTGCGATCCTGGGCGAGGTCGTACCAGTCCGCTATCTGGCGGTCCTTCATGTCGGACACAACATTGTCCCACCACCGCTTCCGGGGCCCATGACGTGGCCGGGTCTTGTCCAGTTCGCCGAAGAGGATACACTTTGGCATACGGAAGTCATCTATTCGAGCAACATGGCCTAACCAGCGGAGTCGACGCGTTTTCAGTGCCTCCTCGATCGGCTGTACCCTGGCTCGTTCAAGGAGAGTGGCGTTGGAGATGTGCTCCTGCCATTGTGTTACTCTGCGAATATCCAGCAGGAAACGAACACAGCGGTGATGAAAGGCTGCAAGCCGACGAACATCCACGGACTTAATTGCCCAGGTTTCACAACCATACAGCAGCGTCGACAAGACAACGGCCGAATATACGTGCACCTTCGTCTTGACGGAGAGATCACGATTGGAAAAGACAGATGAGCGCAATGTGCCAAATGCTCGGGAAGCTTTTGCCAAGCGAGCCGAGATCTCAGCAGTCATCTGGCCATCCGAAGAAATACAACTGCCGAGATACGTAAAATCAGGCACCAGCTCAATACTACCCTCAGGCAACTCTAAAAGGCCGGATGGTGGCGACGGGGCATTCACTACCATAACTTTGGTCTTGGTGAAGCTTACAGTGAGGCCAAACCTGCTTGCAGTGGCAACGAAGGAACTGCCAGCAGCTCCACACGCACGCACGCACGCACACACACACACACACACACACACACACACACACACACACAAACTCTCTCTCTTTCTCTCTCTCTCTCTCTCCTCTCTCTCTCTCTCTCTCTCTCTCTCTCTCTCTCTCTCTCTCTCTCTCTCTCTCTCTCTCTCTCTCTCTCTCTCTCTCTCTCTCTCTCTCTCTCTCTCTCTCTCTCTCTCTCTCTCTCTCTCTCTCTCTCTCTCTCTCTCTCTCTCTCTCTCTCTCTCTCTCTCTCTCTCTCTCTCTCTCTCTCTCTCTCTCTCTCTCTCTCTCTTACACACACTCCCCCTTTACTTTGTTCACTGTGACCTTTTCACAACCCCCCCCCCCCCTCCCACCATTCCTCTTTCCCATTACTAGTAAGAACTCAGATGGTGAGCCAAGGAAAAAATTGTAACATGGAAATTGTGGGCGCAAGTTATGCGATCGAGTCCACCAACTAAACCAGATTTTGAACAGTCAGACGTGCAAAATCTAGCACAAAACTGACAGGGAGTACTGAGACATTCCACGGCATCAAAGTCAGCTTGAGCACTGCTCGATAGCGCTAACCAACGGCCTTCCAACTTGGAAGGTTCATGGATATTATTGCTAATTCCAACAGTCAGTTTTGTGCTAGATTGTGCACGTCTGACTGTTCAAAATCTGGTTTAGTTGGTGGACTCGATCGCATAACTTGTGCCTACAATTTCCCATGTTACAAACATTACTAGTAAATTCACAATTTAATAATAGCTTTCAAGGAAAGTTGTTGAGTACATTTTCCATACTTCTCTGTCCTGTAGCCAATTCAACTTGCTCGCAGTTCACCGATCCGAATGGTGATGTCCACTACAAACCCAAAAACCGATCGATGGACAGCTTGGGTGTTATCGTCTGTCACCCCGGTTTTCAGCTGAGTACGTCCGTACAGCGCCGGTGTATAATCGTCAATAATACCAGACTTGACTGGTCCAGTGATCAGCATTGTGTTGGTAAGTTGGGCCCTGTCCACGGGTGTTTGAGCTTCGAACGCTGTGTCCACTTAATGCCATCGCCGCTACTGCTGCTGCTGCTGTTCCTGTTGCTGCTACTGTTGCGTATGCTGCTGCTACTGTTGCGTATGCTGCTGCTGTTCTTGTGTTTTGTTGTCACTATTTGTTGCTGGCAGTTGCTGCCGTTTGTTTGTTTGTTTGTTTTGGCTCTGTCCATGTTCTGTTTCAAATCTTTATTCTCACGATAGCCTGTGGCTGATAAGAGAGTATTTGTTGTTCCTGGTGTTGTTCTTGATGGGATTGTGGATGGTAGTGTTGGCATTCATGACTACCATGGCAGCCGCATTCCGTTCAGACAGATTATTCTGAGATTGCTCTCCGTCGGGTTTCTCTTTGCGCTCAGGGCAGTCCCCCCTTATCGTACATGCTGTGTGTGCATGTGTGTGTGTGTGTGTGTGTCCGCGTGCATGCGTGCACGTGTGTATATGTGTGTGTGTGTGTGTGTGTGTGTGTGTGTGTGTGTGTGTGTGTGTGTGTGTGTGTGTGTTGTAGTAGACGGATTTTCTACCGTATCATACCGTATGTACCGTATATCGATAGACTTACCATAATTATCGTATATAGTACGTTATTTTGTGTCCGTCGCGTGTATGTTATGTTGGTGCATGCGCGTGTTGCTGTGGTATGAAAAGCAGTCTTCGTCTTGAGTTCGTCTTGTCTAGTTGTGTTTCGTCGTCGTGTCAATAAACAGTCTTCCAAATGTAGTTATCGTCGTCCCTTTGAATAAGTGTGGAGATGGCATGGGACTGGGAGCAGGTGGAGAAAGGCCAGTTACTACATATACAGTCGACCTACCCTTATAACGATAACCTCTATAACGATATTACCCTTATAACGATATTTTTCTGCCAAACCAAATCACTCCATTGACTTGTGTATACAATGCCTTACCTCTATAACAATATTGCTATAACGATATTACCCCTATAACGATATAAAATGGGCTGACCAATCGACATTTCCCTTTTTATAACAATATCTAGCAGGGAATATGTAGAGGCCACTATCCAGGTAGGGCAAGCTTCACTTGATAAGTCGCTGGGACATGACGAAATGCAATGGGGGCACCAGTGGGCACCTTGCGGTGTACATAATGTGCATGTACATCAGTTTTTTAGGCTACGAAGAGTGTAAAAAATGAACAAAATACATGCATTATGACGTATGTGTATGAAATGAACCAGTTGCAGTTACCCCTATAACAATATTACCCTTATAACAATATTTCTTGGTCTGACGCAAATATCGTTATAAGGGTAGGTCAACTGTATGTCACTCTGATTTAGTCACCCACACTAGTAGAAAGTATTACCTTCACTGGGGGCAGGGGTAACTGCAGTTGGATCCCGGGACGGATACCCTGATACAGTCAATCCTTTTTCTGCACCTTGTCCTCACCCACTTACTGAGGTGTGGTGAGCGAATAAGTGGGATCATTTTCAAGTCCACCCAGAGTTTTGGGGATTTCAGGGGGTGTCGGCCGTTGGGCGGTTCAATAGACAATTGAGCCATCTTTCCTAGATTCCTTTTGAGTCTCTCTCCCCTCTCCTGGGGAGACCCACGTGACCAGTTTTGGCAGTGAGCATTAAGTACAAGTGTGTGTGTGTGTGTGTGTTGCGATTTCTCTCTCTTCTCTTCTCTCTTCTTGTCGTTGTCTCCCGCTTCTGGGAGCGGCGTGGCCCGATAGGGTAGCTGTACATAGTAGTAGTAGTAGTAGTAGTAGTAGTAGTAGTAGTAGTAGTAGCAGTAGCAGTAGCAGTAGCAGTAGCAGTAGCAGTAGCAGTAGCAGCAGCAGCAGCAGCAGCAGCAGCAGCAGCAGCAGCAGCAGCAGCAGCAGCAGCAGCAGCAGCAGTAGTAACAAGGCCTCTTTTACGGGCAAATGACGCATATGCGTAAACCAAAAGCAACAAGAACCTCAATAAACAATGTCCAACAAAAGAATCTGCAGACTGCAAAAAAGGACACAAGGTAAAACTCAAGTCCAATAGATCGCGTATGGTACGTATGTGTGAACAAACCAAAAGCCGATTGAGTGGTGAATGTGGAATGTGTAAGTTGAAAACTCCAGTCTGATAAATAGCCTATTGGGGGTATATGTGTAAAAACATCATAAACCAATAGGGTGGTGGATGTATAATTTGTCTGCGTATGAATGCTTACTTCGATCTGTCCGATAAACAAAACAAAACAAACTATTATAAAAGTAGAAACAAAAAAACAAAACAAAAAAAACAAAACAAAGACATGCTCAAAAACAGATATGTCCGTTACGTCACATCCGTTTAGGATCGGCCACACAGCCCCATGCCACTACCGGAGCAGCCTGCACTCCGTGACAAACGAATTGCCACGGCGTACGCCCCGAGCTCCCCGGCATCCACGCAGACAGGTTACGGCCCAGCGGAGGAGGCAGAAGGCAATCTTGGCACGAAGATGGTGCATGACGACGGAGTACTGTAGGTCAGAGTGCTTCTCCACCACGCGCTGAACAAGCCGCTTCAGGAACATTCCACACTCTGCCCCAGCCATGCCATTCGTAGCAAACACCAACGGAGTGAAGGCACCTCGCTCGACGTCCGTGATCCTCTGGCAGTATTTCCGCTTCTTCTCCAACTCGTTGGTGCGCAGTTGGCCAAGGGCTTCCGAACGCGACAGCAGGGACGCTTTAGGGTGGGTGACCCTGACATCAAAGAAAGCGTCCTGCTGCCTTGTCCAGAAACCCCCGGCCCTGATGTCCAAACGAGCTTCAGCGCTGCGATTGGCGGTCCGGCCGGCGAGCACCTCGCCATCGAGAGGGAGCAGTCTAGGCTCGACCTCCACGTCTGGCACGACATCGCCAAGGACAGCCGCCAGGGTGTCCCGGATTTCGTCATGACGTGCCATCGGGTACCCCCCCATGTGGACACGTCATCGAGTGGTGTAGGGTGGTGTCCGCTCCACAAGCGCATTTGCACGGGACATCCAGTGGCAGGTACCCATAGCGTATGCACACCGCATCTCGAAAGTCGGACTTATTCAGGATTGTCCGGTGCGCAGTAAGCGGGGCACACGTCAGCCATGACGACACGCCCTTCTCACCGGCGATATCTGTGAGGCATTTCTGAGGCGGGGGCAGATCGGGATATAACGCCGCGACTAGTGCCTTCTGCGACTTCTCCTTGTCCTTGCGACGTGAGACCGCTCGCTTGCGGGACTCGGTAACGGCTGCGACAGACGGGTTATCACGAACCGGCTGGGTGGTGTGGACCCCAGGTTCTGGCCGGGTCACAGGTCCAGGAGGATCACGAACGGACGCAGCAGAAGACGCAGCAGAAGCAGAAGCAACTGACAATGGTGCATTCCGGTGCGATGCCAAAGACACCTCCTCGCCATCGGGCACGGACGCAGCAGAAGCAGAAGCAACTGACAATGGTGGATTCTGAGGCGATGCCAAAGACACCTCCTCGCCATCGGGCACGGCACTCCCCGAACCATCACCGACCATCAGACGTACAAGCGGCTCCGTCACCGCAACAGAAGTGGAATACTCCCGCTCCGCCTCAGCCGCCAGAATCGGGATGTTTAGGCCTCCAAGGCGGGTGGGCACTGAGAGGAGTCGCCGAAGGCTTGCCTCATCAGGCACCTCCCGACCCAAGAGGAGGGGTAGCAGGTCGCGGTTGACCAGGGTATCCAGGCGCTCTAGTAACGCAGGCGGGCAGGATGCCACTCGGAGCACGTAGCGCCACTTGGAATAGACACCCTGCAGCGTGGCGTAAACTGCATGAGGCTGAGTACGGGCCACAGATACCAGGTTCACCACCTGCCTGCACCAGGCGGATACCGCCTCCTCAAGGTACGCGGCCTTGAAGCTTCCTGTGCCGAGCACTCCTCCCAGATATCGACAACCGGAGGTTATGATTTTGATGCCGGTGCCGGCGAACAGGGTGGACGCCTCCTCCAAACACTCCTCTTTGACCAGCAGCACCGTTTTCGTTGGGTTAGGGGTATATCCATAGGCCGGGCCAAGCTCCTTCACACTGTTCCAATAGCGCAACAGAGACCGGACACGGCCAGCGGCGGAATCGTCGTCAGCGTACCACTCCTGCACGATATCGGGTCAGAGCTCTCCCAAGCGGCGTATGAGAGGCGTTATGGCCACAGCGTATATTCCCATCGCCAAGGGATCGCCCTGACAGGTACCCTCGCGCGACAGCACTTCGCCACCACCAGCAACAAACAATCGGCTTGGCGAACGGTAGGTATTGTGGAAGATCTGGCCAAGCGGCGGGCAGACCACGGGTACATTATGCATGGCGACGGCACGGTTCAGCGAGTTGAAAGCGTTCCCTGCGTCTACCAGTAGGATCCCCTCAGTCGCTGGTTGCTCAAAGAGGTGCTCCATGGCATGTACCGCAGCCTCGCAGCCAGATGGGACACCCGCGCACAGCTGCAGAGGAGCCGTGACCATGAGCATGTCAGGCTCTATCACTCGGGCGACAGCCTTGCAGACGATCCTACGGAACACCTCACCCACTGCGATTGGCCGCACGCCCGGGTTCTTATTGAGCGGAATCAGCCGGGCCGCAGTGAAGGCTGCCAAGGAATCCGGGTCAACATCCTCCCTGCACAGAAGCCTGGCGGTCTCCGCCATGGAAGAAGCCAGCCGGTCCGAACAAGTTCCGTAGCATGTTAGCATTCGCTGCCAAGCCTCTGCGTCAAGGCCAGACGGGCCGGATGAGCCGGACATCTCGCGAGCGACGCGTTTAATCAAGGCGGGTGTCAGCCTCTCAAACAGAATGGGATCACATTCAGACCTGTCCGCCGCATCCACCAGAACGCTCGGGTCAGGGCTAGCAGGTAATGGGTGCTTTTCGAGAAGTGCATCTCTCACGGTCTTCCCAGTGTCGGCGTCCATGACCTCATCCATCGCCAATACCCCACCGGACGAGGCTGATGAGGCGAGACGAATGGCCGATTGTATTCTGCCGGAGAAGACCAGCTTGCTGAATCTCATATCATCAATTTGCCCATCTGCCTCCCGAGGCCCAGAGTCCCGAAGAGGGGGCAAATGTGCCTGGAGGCACCGTCCCTCGCGCAGCAGCTCACCAATCCGCCCAGATTCCCATAGGCCGAGACGCCGATCAAGGTGCGGTGCCGAAGCCCCGTACTGGGTAGCACATGGCTTCTGTAGGAGCAACTGGGAAGCCACGACCACAGCCGCCCAGGCATGCCGGCGCGCTGCACCACCAACAGCAAACGAGTGCATGAGGTCAGCCAGCAGAGCCACAAACCGCCGACCCACGGCTCCATGTGGCACAATAAATAGATTCCGACGCCACGTGATGACCTCCTCATATGCGCTGAGAACAGACTCAGTAGTAACAGCAGCAGCAGCAGCAGGATCCGATCCCGGATCCGGCACAGAACCACGTGCACCAGGGGCGTTAGAAACCGGCTCTGATCCAACAGCAGAGCGCGGTGCCACATCCGGGGCTCCAGGCCGCGGAACAGGCTCCGAAACTGGGGCACTGTCATCCCTCGAACTGGGATCCCTGGAATCACGGCTGGGGACATTCATTGCCGCAATGGAGACAGCTGCAGCACCATCAACACACCCGGCGTGCGGTGGAGTGGAAGCGCCACGCACAGGGCCATCAATGGGTCTGAATCGGGGCGAAAGTGCACGACGGCTACGACCACGGCGTCCCGGTACACGAGCCACCGGAGACCTGGAGGCCGACCCATCCCGAGCATGACTCCTGCCCCTTCCGACAGCGCCAGGTGATGAGCGGCGCCGCCTGCCCAAAAAGCCTGGCCTCTCAGGAGATCTATCCGAATGGAATGCTGGATTCGGATCTGCAACCGGCACAATCGGAATCAGCTGAGCATTACCAAAATTGCGGCACCTACCCGCGCGACCAGGGTAGCAGCTCTCGCAGGCCCTGGCTGACACAGCACACGAGCAGCCACGGCAGCTCCCAGTCGACTTGCTGCACACACAGCATGGCTTCGATCCACCAGCGGGCTGTGACATGCCACCAGAGCGCTAGAGTAGTACTAGTAGAGATCGATCACAACTGCACAGTGCACACGGTAACCATGCACACGGTAACCATGGCGAGAAAGCTGATTAGAAAGCTGATCCGACGCGCTCCACAAGCTGGAGATGTGTGTGCGACGCCACCCGCCAGCACTGGGCACGATGAGCTGCGACACCAGCAAGGCAACGCTGGTACTGTAATACGGCTGGGACTAGAATATTCTAGAAATTTCGCAAAACTCTCGATGCTCTCCAAGTCCCTAACTGAAGGGACTACCGCTGAAAGGATAATGACCAGGCTAGATAGCTAGCACGCTAGATATCGACGAGCACCGCAAGCCAAGGAACCGAGGGAAATGCACACTGGGCACTCAAATTCAAAGAACACGGGAGCACTGAAAAGTGCATCCACCTCCGAGCACCTTAGTAGTAGTAGTAGTAGTAGCAGTAGCAGTAGCAGTAGCAGTAGCAGCAGCAGCAGCAGCAGCAGCAGCAGCAGCAGCAGCAGTAGTAGTAGTGTGTTTGTGTGCATGTGTGCGTGCATGTATGTCTGCATGTGTCTGTCTGTCTGTCTGTAAGTGTGTGTCTGTGTGTGAGTATGTCTGTGTGTGTGCATGCATGTGTGTATACCACTGTATTTCACTGAACGTGTGTGTGTTTATATTCTGACGCAGCTATCGAGAACTTCTGCCCAGAGCTGGCAGCCGGGAGGTTCTCCCTCGTTCTCTACACTGGCCATCGGCGTCTGGGTGGCGAGGCCGTCATCGTCTGCAATCACAGCTCTGTGATAAGTATACCGTACAAACGACCGCGCTGCAAGTACGACAACGCCAGCCAGACAGCCGTGTGGAGCGACATACCCAACTGCCAAGGTACGTCATATGCAACACAGCTTGTTCTTAATTAATCTCCGGTAGGTTCGGGCACGCACATCACGTACTTCAGCCACAGTTCCTGTTCTTGCTCCAAGACAACTTCACGCGATATCTCAAAACACCTAAAAAGTATTCTGAGTACAGGCCTACTACAGTACATGATTCATTGGAAACTGGCACCCTAACTTTTTGGTGTCTCCCGCACATAGTTGTAGATATCGTGAAAACAACAGTACATCCTGCATTGTGTGACCCGTGCAATTACTCCTTGCCACATTTGAGGCCAGAAAAGTCCAAGAACAGGGAAATAGAAATTCAGCCAGGTTTTACAAAATTAGGACAGGTATGCCACGGCAAAATGTCTGGAGAAGCAGATCCCAAACCCGGATTTTTGAGATATAAAGTGGGTTTTTGATCCTCAATTCGGCCCAAATCGGACTTTCAACAGCTAGCGGGACAGTTTCCGATGAATGGACTTATACTTGTACTTGTAGCGTGCTCTTGTGCATCGGAAAACGCACAGAGGTAAGAGGTCGCATGGAAGATAAACTGGTATCGGAGAGTTGTAGCTTCAAGGATGACGACACAAGATCACGTTGTCATTCCCCATGTGCAACACCGCCTGAAAAGTGGCTTCTATTCCCTCCGGCAAACCTATGCACTCGCCGTAGAGAAGCAGGCGAGAAATGTGAATGCCCTCGGTCATGCTTGGCTCTCGTGCAGGCGATTAATCGTGCATGAAAGTCGTGACAATTCTCCCGTTAACGTGGATTTGCCTGCCATATGAATACTAGTAGTCTGTAACCCGTGTTTATCATCATACAATTGGATCTGCCAACAGATGTTGTCGGGGGGTTTGTCCGCACGGACACAGCGCCAAAAGGGGACCTCGTACAGGTCACCAATACACACGGACCGCGCAGAGACCAGCTGTCTTTTAAAAGTTACGAAAATCTTTCTGAAGTGATAGTTTCTTGCTATCTGTGGAGAATCTCACAACTGGCATGACAGGTTGTTTGTAGTCTGTCTTCTATATCTACCGGGTGTTGTCTGAGGGTATCTCTTATGCTCTGCCAGGGCGGCTGTGCATCAAGACCAAAAGTACGCATGCTTCTTTTCTATAGCGTATCAATCGCTCCCTCAGTCATAGCTACAAGCGAACAGTATTCCCGATATACTGTAGCTTTAAATCTGAATGTCTCACTGCTATCTGTCTTAATACTCCCAGCCAAAAGAGTGAAATACCAAAATACAGAAATTTCAATTCTTCTACATGACTTGAAATTTCGGCTACGATTGTGGCGCGACTCTGTCCTATTCTCTTGAAGCTTGTCGGTTATACCGTTGTGTGTATGTGGAAAGTTTCCATGCAAGGAAACTGTAACCCCAACGGCAGCAGACCTTGGGCAATATCTGCCTGGATACGTGGTGACCTCTTTTGCCAACCAAGTAACGTTATGTGTGTGTGTGTTTTGTGTGTGTGTGTGTGTGTGTGTGTGTGTGCATGCGAGTGCGTGTGCGTGTGTGTATGTGTGTGTATGTGTGCATGTGTGTGTGTGTGCGTGCGTGTGTGCGTGTGTGCGTGCGTGTATGTACATGTATTCTTGTTTCCCGTGTACAGCACCGCAGACTGTCATCCCCACGACGGTCAGTAGTACAATGCCAACAGGACCGCAAGCAACCGGCACATCCAGCTTGTCACAGTCCGCCGTCGCAGTTGTCATCTGCACTTGCCTAATACTAATATGCGTCGGTGCGTTCATTCTGCACTTGCATCGCGACGCAGTACTCAGGACGATGCAGAAAATCGACACGCAAAACGGTGCGTTTCTCATCATCAACGACACCGGGAAGAAAGTCAAGAGCTTCCTGGACAAGAGCTTACCAGCCACTGTTAGTCGACGTTTGCGAAAGGATGTGGACGTGGACGCGGAAAATGCTACAGCAGAAGAACAGCAGCAGCAGCAGAAGCAGCAGCAGCAGCAGGACAACACCACTCCACTTGGGATAATAAAGATACGCTCCAAGGCGTCGATTGACACGGTGCGTAGCTGCGACGTACCTGTCCGATACCAGCACGGAGGGGGAGGAGGACAAGCGGACAACGGCGGCGGAGGTACGCTAAGACGCAGCTACTCTGACTTGTCGGCGGACAAGCGCGGTGGCCGCGGCCAACATCACCAGCCGCCTCTGCGCAAGTCGTTGTCGTTCCCGGCGTCACACGCTCAACGAGCGGAGCAGAGTCGGCGCTCGTCGATAATCGAGTCGATGCATTCGGACGAGGAAGATCAAGCAAATCTGTCTCAGCCGTCTGGGCTTTCAGCACAGCAGCAGCCACCGCAGCCTATTGGGAGCCCGGCTTTTCCCTTCAAATCAGCAACATTGCCCAGCGTTCTCTCTCCTGTCTCATCACCTCTGGCACGAATTAAGCGCCTAGTGAAGTCGAGCAGTAAGGAATCCGGTGTAAACCCGTGGTCGGGCGTGTCTACCATCATGAGCAAGAAAATCCCGGATCTGGCGCTGAAGGGCATGAGTATGCGTGGGCGCCTGAGCGTGCCACGCAAACTGAGGAACAGCAGCACCAGCAGCGGCAGGCCTACACTGTCCGAGAACGACAGAGAAAACACCTCGCCACCACCACTGCCTGCTGTCCGCAGCGGCAGTGAAACGTCGCTGGCCGGACGAGTAGCCGTGGCAGGTAATTCCGGTTGCAACGAAACATCACTGACCGGACAAGCAGTTAGCAGTAAATCAGTCTGCAGTGACATATCACAGGCAGAGCAAGCAAGGGTGAGCAGGCAATCAGAAATCACTACTACGTCTCATATTCCATCAGAAGATGAACGGGGATCCTTAGCTGCCAGCGGCGATACAGAAGACAACAAATTAAGTGAACAAGATGAAACGTGTGAGAACGCTAGCAATGCGGCTGCTTCCGTACATAGCTTGGCTGACACTCATCCTGCCGCCACCGCCGCCGCCGCCGCTGGCGAAGATGACATTTACCATAACCCCCTAGAGGAAGAGGTCAGCTTGCAGCCAAAGAAGGTACCTCCGCCACCTCCTAGTTCCACTCCAAGCATTGCCGATGGTGGGAGAGCCTCGACCAGCAGCGCTGGTGGCGGTATATGCACTGGTGTAGACGGTGAAGAGCCCAAAGGTGACGTGGCCAGCATCGCTTCCTGCGACTCGCTCTACCTGAGCGCGCAGGATCCACGCCTGGCTTCTTGCGCTTCGTCGTCGCCAAGCCCCAAGGCCGCCACCGCAGCCTCCACTGCCGGCAGTGGCTTGCACCCTCAGAGTGCTGCTCAGTCTCCCAGGCCTCCCAGCGGCAAGGGCACACCGACGGCGTCCGCTGCATCGCCAGCGGAGGACGAGGAGGAGGACATATACGCGGACTGCGCCGAGCGGAACATGAACAGCACCGAGTCGTTCACTGACCTGGCGCTGTTGAAGCAGGCAGACCCACCAGCGGCGGCGGAGGCGGCGGCGACGGTGGTGGCGACGACACCAGCACCAGTGGAGGCCCAGGCAGATGAGAACGTGTACGAGATGGACGACGAGGTCAGCGACGTAATACAAAAGGCCAACTTGACGAAAGCCAAGAAAGACATGATGAAGCGCACCAGTACTTTAATACGAGACAGCAAGGCACTGGATACCGCCGCCACAAAGCTGAAAACACTCGCCCGTCAAATGACATTCGGAGAGGGCAGCTCACCCGCTCCGGGCACTCCGGACAAGCCTAGGCAATTATCGATCGACGCCAGTCCCACCAGCGTGACGGCCTCTCCCACATCTCTACTGCGCAGGATCAGGGAGTCCACACGCGACAAAACGAAGACCAGGAAGGACAGCCCTAGCCAAGCAGCAGCGGCGTCCACCTACACCGCACGCAAGCTACTGCCCACACCTGACGCCGAGGAGCCACCACCGCTACCGGCAACTCCTGCTGATCAGAAGAAGCGTGTGTCAGCAGCATCGCTGATACAGGAGTCCAGCTCTACGGATGAGGAAGCGGACGGAGACGACATGTACGCGGATCTCGACCAGTTCAAGACGTCTTAGTTAGCGACTCGCTATTGCCGGCTCCTACAGCATATTTGCCAAGCCACGAATATCGTGAAACGGCAAACCTACTTCGCACTAGTCCCTTGTGAATGACTCATTACTGTAGTACCTTTGCTTGCTTCATACCACAGCATGTAAGAAAACTATCAAGCGCACGATCAAATTAGTTGTCTGGATATCCACTCTCTGCTGGAGCGTGTCACTAGAGCCAGGGCTGCCTCACTGATAGCAGCAATATCACCCGTCCTGCTCAGTGAAGTGTTCGAGCTACGGTCCGCCCTCCTCTTGCCAGTGCGCGAGTTGTTTTCCGTTGTCTTCGTCCTACCGCAGTGCATCAGTCTGTGCGCTGTGTGCAGTCCGTTCGGCATCAATTAGCTGCTGCCAGCGGATACGTACAATCATGGCTTGCGCTGATGCATGACTCCACAGTTCTAACCGATTGACCAAACTAGTGTTTGGCACACGACTTCACTCCCCTCTCCTCCTTTTCAATCTCATGACCGTCAACTTTCCGTTCGTGGTGTGGCAACTGACGTGTTGCACCCCCCCCCCCCCCTCCCCTCCCCCCTCCCCGATGCTCCTACCATGTACTAACTGTTGGCATGAGTAACGGATCACTGCCCTTCACACATGCACACTAGTAGTGTCTTCATCTTCCGGCATGTCACTAGTAGCAGGCACGGCACACAATCACGCCCCGAATAACTCCCTAGGTTCCGTCCTTGAAGCAAGGAGGCAGTAGGAAAGAATTGCTGGAGAATGCCTTTCCAGTTTGATATAGACGAAAGACTAGAACATTGCCTATTCTACATGTTCTGCGTGTACACAAATTTCCCCACTTTCTGATTCTGAAATTATCCCATCTATATTTTCTTCTCGTACGTAGTATAGCGTTTTCGCATCAAAATGTGTCCTTCACACCAGCCTATTTATTTCTTTATCTATTTATTTGTTTGTTTGCCTGACGATGGGTGTTTCCAGCCATAGATAATGATTTCAGATTTTTGCTGTTGTTTTCTGTCCAACATGAAGCGCTAACGGCCACCTCTTAGACCTTAGACGACCTCTGTTGTGTGTGTGTATGTGTGTGTGTGTGTGTGTGTGTGTGTGTGTGTGTGTGTGTGTGTGTGTGTGTGTGTGTGTGTGTGCGTGTGCGTGTGTGCGTGCGTGTGTGTGCGTGTGTGTGCACGTGTGCATGCGTGGGTGTGTGTATGTGTCGCCATCCCCTCTGCACGCTGACAAGCTTCAGCCTGTCCACTGTCACACTGTGTACAGCGCAATGGTGCCGTGAGCTCATGCAATGGTGCCGTGAGCTCATGCAATGGTGCCGTGAGCTCATGCAATGGTGCCGTGAGCTCATGCAATGGTGCCGTGAGCTCATGCAATGGTGCCGTGAGCTCATGCAATGGTGCCGTGAGCTCATGCAATGGTGCCGTGAGCTCATGCAATGGTGCCGTGAGCTCATGCAATGGTGCCGTGAGCTCATGCAATGGTGCCGTGAGCTCATGCAATGGTGCCGTGAGCTCATGCAATGGTGCCGTGAGCTCATGCAATGGTGCCGTGAGCTCATGCAATGGCTGCAAACCTGCCACTAGCCTTGCCAGTGTTTGCTGTCAAGTTGGTTTCTGTCACCACTGCGTGTAATCTCCCGGGTATGATCCAGGTTGCCAGGGGCAACCAGACTGTGAATTCTGAATTTGCCTGTCGTCATGGATATGCGAGCGCGACGCCAGAGTTTATGGTCGGAGCAGGTCCGCGTGCGAGCACCTGCATGTTGCATGTTGTTATGGTGATGTAGAGTGGGTTATCCGGCAGCCATCGCTCTTTGCTCCGGCCAAGTTTAGAAACGCTATCCACTGACGTTGGAAATCCTATAAGTTGAAAACAGTTTGTAGGATGGTAGGGTGGGGATGGTGGCTTTCCACCTTCTGAACCAACCTATGGTCAAAAATTTCAGAAAAGTTTCGAAAAAAGGAACAAAGTGCTTTCCTTCACCCCTAGTCCTATGGCTAGGGTGCCCTGCTGGCCCAGTGGTTGGCCCGTGTAGGATCCCAGCATGCATCATCCCAATGTGTTTGTTGCTAACTCGTCCATTCTCACTCTCAGTGCATATGATTATGAGTCGCGTAGCCTGTCATTCGAAACACCTCCAACCATCGACCAAGAGAACACACACACACATACACAGGCAACTGAGTAGGCAAATTACTACTTTTCATGAACTTGTGACCGCGGGCTACTTAGCAGGCAGGGAGTAGGCATATACTTGGCTGGTCAGCAGGTAGGGAGTAGGTATATTACTACTCGATGACACCATGACTTCTGCACACTGGCACTGCACACTGTGCTATCCATCCTCCATGTTGTGTGAAGACGAGCAGCAGTTCTAGATCTACATGTACATGGAGTGGGGGATCAGTTTTAAGCAAAAAATCTTCACTGGGCCACTGCAGGATAGGAGATTTGAACACAGCCAGTTCCCACTAGACTTGAGCACCAAATAGACCAGATCATCAACCGCTAGACCAAGCAGGTTTGCTGATGAGCACAGTGAAAAAACACGTACATCTACGTCAATGAAAAATGAAACATTTTAACTAATAGCCGCGCCGTGAATAAAGAGAACAAAATTTAATTATATTCTGCTGTCATCACCACACTACCACCAAGTCATGAAAGTTTACCAAAATTAAATTTCTTGTCACATTCATCAGTGGAAAGTGGTGACTGAAGAGTAACCATGGTAACCATGCTGAACAATGATTACTTGCATTTGAACTAAGTAGTGCATAATCCTGGGTCGCAAACTGAGTAAGTGCAGTCTGACGCCGGCGAAAGGCATGGCGATGTCTGACTCGAAGCCATGGAGAATCCATCACACACACAAGAGGAGCAATGATGTACAGTGCTAGCAACTGAAGTCCGACCCGTGAGCGGTCTCTGTGAGCGGTCACATTCTAGCGGTCTCTGTTTCGTAGTTTTACAAACCCCGTGTTGGGTCTTTGCGATGTGAGCGCACCGCTCAGGGGTCGGATTTCAGTTGCCAGCACTGTACTTGTACTTGTAGCAGGCTTGCTCAAACCCAGTCCTGCATTGCACCACCGTCCAGTCCGCAGTTCTACTGAAGTGGACAGTGAATTCCGAACGGGATGACCGCGGCCGACGCCCTAATTTAATAATTACTTGCTTTTAGCGCGTAGATCTACGTGCACAGTAGGGCACGTACACATTGTAATAATGGAGCAGCAGTGTTCATGGGCGCAACGCCAGCGCCCCGTGGCCACTTGACTTCTCAACGGATCTCCATGTCTGCTACAGTAGCATGCATTGCTAGGTGGCACGTCATCCACATACACAGGTTCTAGTACGCACGCACGCACGCAGCACTCAAACACACACCATGCGCAAAGCCGCCAGTAATTCAGTACTGAAATTAATTGTATTATGATTTGAAACCATGGATACCCGCGAGACCAAGTTACACGTACTTGTAGCATGCACGAAGAAGAGAATGGAAAGAATCTGCATGGGTAACAGCGATCGAGTTTGTATGCTAGCCTTAAACAACAGAACAAGCCAAGCGAGAACAAGCAGGATGGAAAGCAGGTGTAAGCGGAATCGTAAAACGACATTGGCAGTGACCGTGGACCACGCAAGTCGAAGGACGGCCCCCGACTGCGGACCACTGAGCAATGTAATCATACAGCGCGAAGCTTGGAAATTCGCTGACCCAACACAACTCACTGTACATTGGCCTCACGGTTGCAGATGAAGGCTGCGCTGCATGTCCAGCCTCTGCCTGTCTACTTCTGCATTGCAGTCTGCAGGCACAGCACTGCATGACTAGTCCACATTGCACTGTAGTGTAGATTCAGCATTGCATGACTGGTCCACATTGCACTGTAGACCCAGCATTGCATGACTGGTCCACATTGCACTGTAGACCCAGCATTGCATGACTGGTCCACACCGTAGGCACAGCACTGCATGACTGGTCCACATTGCACTGTAGTGTAGATGCAGCATTGCTTGACTGGTCCACATTGCACTGTAGACGCAGCATTGCATGACTGGTCCACATTGAACTGTAGACCCAGCATTGCATGACTGGTCCGCACGGTGGGCACAGCACTGCAGGATTGACCTGTCCTGTAGGTGCAGTATTGCAGGACTGGACTAGGCTGTAGGCACAGCACACTAACTTAGGCTTGTACTGTAGACGCAGCATCGCATGGTTAGTCTACACTGTAGACACAGTATCACAGGGTTGGTCTTCACTCACTGCAGACGGCGTGGCATGATCGCAGTGTGGCAATGCGTGATGCTGCATACACTGAGCGTGGCTGGAGTTCTCTAATCGTCACCCGCATCACCGCTTGATACAGACACACAGAATACAGAACAAAAACAGCGTACACGTCAGGAAATGCAAAGTTGCAAAGACGTCGTCTCACATTTGAACACGATCATGGTCGCAACTTAGAAGAGCTTTCTAAATACAGAGTTGCTGAACCATGTTATAGACTCATGGTCGATACCTACCCATCCCAAGCCTGCGTTGGCATTGGGCACTCGAGCAGGTTAAAGGCGCACTCACTGCCTATAGCTCTTTGCGAGCATACTCTGAAATACAGTAGAGGCTTTGCAGTCGTACCCTGCAGGTGCAGTGAATGCTCCCATGAGTGATGTTCTGCTCTGCGTTACGGGAACGCGACGCGAAGAATCCCGGGAACACTCTTCGCGTTCCCGTAATGCGTAGAGGAAACCTGATCTGGTGGTGGTGGTGGTGGTGGTGGTGGTGGTGGTGGTGGTGGTGGTGGTGGTGGTGGTTCAAAATTTGGAGATTTGCGCCAAATTGCACGTCATGTCGGAAATAATGTGCATCTTAATCTCTCTATTATGGCTCAAACCCGAAAATGGGGTGCGACTTATAATTAAGTGCGACTTGTAAACGGGAAATACGTATATTTTGTCTGTTCACTCAACTGATGAGGGGTGAATTCCCCGAAACACTGTGTATTGAGCAAGGAGTTTTACAGTACACACTTTTTCTTTTTTTCTCTTTTTTTCTTCCCTCTTTGCTACCTTGTCATTGGGAAGAAATTCCCGTCCGGATTTTGCGAAGTAAAACAAAGTTTTAAAAACTGATATCCTTTGAGCAGGAGCAGGAGAAAAATCTTCATATCAACTATTGCTCAAACATATGGAGCCAATTCATATTTTTCCTTGTTTTGATAAAATAGAAAGCCACTCATAAAGCAGCCTCCCCCTCCACACTGACCAGAAGGACAGTGCAGAACGGTCATCAATCACCAGCACTCTTGCACCCATACATGGATACTGTCGTGCTGGTGCGCTTCCCGCTTAGGGGAGGATGCTACATGTCGTCCTCGTGGCTTATGCGGTTGTCTTTGTAGGAGAACAAAGACGGGATACGTACTATAGAAATGATCCTAGTGAGTACGATCTTGATTTTCAACCAGCAGCCGGATTTTCCATAAGTGCTTTTCGGCTGCAGCGTCGATCATCACATTCAATGTCATATGTACTATTCCAAAGTTTTTCTTTTATGACACCAATCTTAGCTATTGAGCTCCGTTTAACAAAAGACACAACCTTCCATCGCTAGCCAAGCATTGGTCTAATACGTGACGTGTTGTCATGGCGACGGACACCCTGTGAGTGAATTGACGCTCAGCCTGACTGTATATGAATTTTACTATTGTTTTATTCAGTGCAACGATTTCAAGCATACCCCAGTAGTAGGCTGAAAGGAGTAGCCGGCAAGCGACCCATAACACACAACCTTCCGGAGAATCCGCAAAAAAGCTCACAGACACTGGTAATCGTAGCAGGTCATTCTAATGACGCAAAGGCCCAGCTGGTACCCGGCTCATGGCTACGTACTGTTGGCAACGCACCGTGCCAGATCCCTTGTGCAGTGATGTACGGTATACTCGGTTGCTGACTATTGTTGGTATTCTCCTCCTGACGGGAACTAGTGTGCAAGTCCCATATGGTCTAGTGGTTAGGATTTCTGGTTTTCACCCAGACGGCCCGGGTTCAATTCCCGGTGTGGGAACACCTAACTTTTTTCTTCTCCTTGTCTCGAAATGTAAACAACTAAAAGAGTAGTACACTTTTTTTTCTAGTGATACTCGTCCTTACAAAAAGTTTTTTGTTTTGTTTGCATATACAGTACATCGTATTAAACAGAAAGTCCTTGCAAAAAGTAGGTGCACCCAAGGACGAGTGTCACCATTTTTTTTCATAGTTGTTCAAATTTGGAGACAAGGACGGGAGTCCCTAATGATCCACTGCTCATTGTGCGACTGCCCATGGTAACATGTAGTGAGCTGACCAATACGTCATGGGGCATTATTACTACAGATGCGCTTGGTGAAATCCGACCCAAAGTGCAAAGCTGGCACCCTGGACCAGCTCCGATTACATCCGATTGTATTTGTACATGTGTACGTTCAGCTGCTTCCGTGCCACTTCCAGGGCGTCTAGTTGAGGGCGCCGGATATGCACTCTGGGTCGGATTGGACTCTGGGTCGGATTGGACTCTGGGTCGGATTGGACTCTGGGTCGGATTGGACTCTGGGTCGGATTGGACTCTGGGTCGGGTTGGACTCTGGGTCGGGTTGGACTCTGGGTCGGGTTGGACTCTGGGTCGGGTTGGACTCTGGGTCGGGTTGGACTCTGGGTCGGATTGGACTCTGGGTCGGATTGGACTCTGGGTCGGATTGGACCGAACGCAACTGTAGTAGTATAAGCATAACGTTGCACAAGAAACTAACTCATATTGGACTCTGGGTCGGGTTGGACTCTGGGTCGGGTTGGACTCTGGGTCGGGTTGGACTCTGGGTCGGATTGGACTCTGGGTCGGGTTGGACTCTGGGTCGGGTTGGACTCTGGGTCGGGTTGGACTCTGGGTCGGATTGGACTCTGGGTCGGATTGGACTCTGGGTCGGATTGGACCGAACGCAACTGTAGTAGTATAAGCATAACGTTGCACAAGAAACTAACTCACCTCTCTCTCTCTCTCTCTCTCTCTCTCTCTCTCTCTCTCTCTCTCTCTCTCTCTCTCTCTCTCTCTCTCTCTCTCTCTCCTCTGTCTCCGTCTCTCTCTCTCTCTCTCTCTCTCTCTCTCTCTCTCTCTTTCTTTGGTCTGTCATCAGTAACAGCAACAGCCATTGTAGCCGTCTCCGCGTGACTTGACAAACCCTGTTAGGGTAACATCGCGCTGATAAGTCACCGAATCGTCATCGTCCACTTGTCATACATGACTGATCTCTGCCACCTTGCAAACCTACAATATGCCCTTAGCTAGGTGATGGAACAATAACAAAATCACTCATCACGCTGTCAAACACGCCAGCGAAGACATACACGAGCACAGGCGTGCACATGCGCGCACCCAAACACCCAAACATATGTTCCCATACATGCACAGATCAATATAGACTTGACACGTGAAGTCAATCCAATTTCTTTTTATAAAGAATAGAGCCACTCATAAAGCAGCCTCCCCCTCCACACTGACCAGAAGGACAGTGCAGAACGGTCATCAATCACCAGCACTCTTGCATCCAAACATAGATGCTGTCGTGCTGGTGCGCTTCCCGCTCAAGGGAGGATGCTACATGTCATCCTCATGGCTTATGCGGTTGTCTTTGTAGGAGAACAAAGACGGGATACGTACTATAGAAATGATCCTAGTGAGTACGATCTTGATTTTCAACCAGCAGCCAGCTTTCTTATAAACACATTTTGATTACTGTGCCAATCATTATGGTCACAACTTTGCAGAGGACGGCAGTTTGAAAATTCATTATTCGACTTAGGCACACCCAACCTTCAACTTTCTGCTACCAAAGAGTTCAGATAAGCGATGTCTCCATGATTACGGTTACCATGGTGATCCACTTGTAGGTTTTATTCCCGTTCCACGGGGCTTCGAAATGACGACGTCCTGCATACCTGACAGCGCATGGCAGCGAAAGTTCTGTGTGCAAACAAACTTTGCTCTACATTGTTTTACAGTGATCTGTGGGTATATTGTTGTTCCGGCAATCAATGCTTCTGTACCATATTCTCCCGAGTATAAGCTTCACTGGAGTATAAGGCGGACCAAGATTTTTTCGTCACGAAATACAGACATCTACGCTGTATACCACCGTTCATTTGCCCATCACAGTATAAGCCGCACTGTGTTTTTGGGGTGAATTAAAGTGCAGTGTATCTGCCAGGAAATATGGTAAGAGCAAAGTGCAGTCAGACCTCTCATAACCGCACACATTCGTTTTCAACAAAAAAACATCCGGCTAGGCGAGGGAACCGGATTTATCGAACACACATCCTGTATCGTCCGCATGATATACATGTACATGTATGCTGTAAATCTGTAACCAGCTACCAGTATTTTCTTGGTATCATAATAACCCAAGACCGGCTCAAAACCAGTATTGGATAGCGCTGTCAATCTAACAATATAGTATTTTCTTCCGGGTGGCGAGGGATCCGGATAAAAGAGGACCGGATAAAAGAGGACGGGATAAAAGAGGACGGGATAAAAGAGGACGGGATAAAAGAGGACGGGATAAAAGAGGACGGGATAAAAGAGGACGGGATAAAAGAGGACGGGATAAAAGAGGACGGGATAAAAGAGGACGGGATAAAAGAGGACGGGATAAAAGAGGACGGGATAAAAGAGGACCGGATAAAAGAGGACGGGATAAAAGAGGACGGGATAAAAGAGGACGGGATAAAAGAGGACGGGATAAAAGAGGACGGGATAAAAGAGGACCGGATAAAAGAGGACGGGATAAAAGAGGACGGGATAAAAGAGGACGGGATAAAAGAGGACCGGATAAAAGAGGACGGGATAAAAGAGGACGGGATAAAAGAGGACGGGATAAAAGAGGACGGGATAAGCTCTGGTCTGACTGTACTGTATTGCTTTGTGAGTAGTCATCTTTGCACAGTACTGCACCAGTTAACACCCCGGGGTCCGCAGGGTCCGCAGGCATAGAGCTGTGCAGTGCTCGGCGCGTACTGGAGTCACGCGATCGGATTTCATTGAGCAGCATTTTAGTTGGGAATTGCAGGAATTTGTAGCACTCCTGGTACATGTACTGTGCAGTGCTGCTCAATGAAATCCAGTCGTGTGACGGTCAAGTTTGCGCCTTGCATCATTTCTCAGCCCAGTGTCCGCAGGTCTAGGGCTGCGCGACGCCCGGTGCGCACTTGAGTGACACGCCTGGATTTCATTGAGCAACACTGTATTCGCAAAGAATAGCGACAGGTCCGGCACAACTCTACTGCTCATTGTGCGACTGCCTATGGCAACACGTAGTGAGCTGACGCATACGTCACGAGGCATTTCCATAAAGTACCGCGGGAGCACCACGTCTCGCGAGAGCCTTGATTTTACAACCAGGGAGAGGAAAGTCGTATGGCAGACTGCAAAGAAGTTCGTATGGTGTGAGGACCTTGGTGAGGTCACACTTACCAGGTTTTTGTGTGGAGCTCGTATCCAATTGAAGGTAAACTGAGTACGGATTTACTGCGCAACGTGCAATGTGTGTACAAGGTTCGTGTCGTATGACGTACAGATACACCACCTCCACAATACTACGAAAGGACGAGACGGTGGGGCGCTCTCGCGGTACTTTACGGTATTCCTATTGGCATACACAAGAAACTAACTCACCTCTCTCTCTCTCTCTATCTTTGGTCTGTCATCAATCATTGAACAGCAACAGCCATTGTAGCCCTCTCCGCATGACTTGACAAACCTCGATAACACCGAGCTGCCACGTCACCGGATCGTCAGTGTCCACTTGTTAGACACGACTAATCTCTGCCACCTTGAGAATCTACAGTCCCTTAGCTAGGTGATAGAACAAGAACAGAAATCATCCATCATACACACGCACAGACGTACACATGCGCGCACCCAAACACCCAGCAAACACACATACACGGATCAAACCAGACTTGACTCATGAACGGAATATGACTTATTGATTATATATAAAGAATGGAGCCACTCATAAAGCAGCCTCCCCCTCCACACTCTTTTTGAGCTTTTGAAGTCGGTTTGGAATTTTGGTGCTCTGATCCATCCTTGGTCAGATCGAGCAGTGCTGCTGACATGTACCATTACTGTTCCTTTCCGGTAGATGGCTACGGCCGAGAGTCTTTTCGGCCCTACCTTGATGCTTTGGCAGCCCAAATAAGGAGCCCTGACTGCATCAAGCAGGTAAATTTTGATCGTATCCGGGGACATTGCGTAGTAACTCTGGATAAGGAAGAGTGTTTCCAAAGGCTGCTGTCGGAGGGCTTGACCGTCAGAAACATTGCTGTGCAGGTACGTCCCTTTTATGGTGATGATGTTGTCCGGCTACATGTAATTGGGTGCCCCTTTGTCCTCGAGGATGCCACTTTGGTCACCATGCTAGAACCATTTATGAAAATTGTCCATGGACCATCACGGCAGAAAGTCCGCCTTGCAGAGGGGGTGGATGTGATGGTTGAGAGCGGGAGACGGTTCATACTCGGTACGCCCCTGAGGTCAATCCCCAGCACGCTAGTTGTACCAGAAATGAAAACAAGATTGCGCCTTTGGCACGAGGGACAAGAATCGACATGCTGGGAGTGTCACCAGCCGGGTCACAAATCCCGTAGCTGCCCACGCCGCCAGACATCCCGTGAGACCACTGTGATACAAAAAGAACTGACCAAAACATCAACAGCACCTGTTGAGGATAACAATGCTACGTCAACAGTTGAACCTATTGAGGATAACAACGCTACGGTAGACTTGAACTCCAGTGAGCTCAAGCCCAGGGCAGGTCAGACAACCCCCGCCGTGCGTGGCAAGTCCAGGGCTGAGCACACTCCTACAGATGATACGGCACAAGAAGATGACGACAGTGATGGCTTCACACCAGCCCGTAGGCCGAAAAAGAAGAGTCAACAAACGGCCGACCAGAGACCAGGTAACCAAGCTGCAAATTGTGAGCTCCTGGATGATGCCTTGAGTAGTGTTCTGCACCGGACAGGATCACTTTACGAGGTTCTAGCCGACAACATTATTCAGGGATCCAGGCAGGGAGCCGCTAACGCCCGCAGGCACAGCCAGGCGGCTAACGACACCTGCAGTCGCTAACAAGCCCCAACCTCGGACGTACGTACACCATTGCTACATAATGTATCCTCATTCAACAAAAATAATAGTCATGTATATTACATTGAAAATGATAGGAAATTTCACACACATTACAGTCAGTTTCAAAAAGATTAGCAATCCTGGCGATCGCCCGGGGAGTTTGCCGTCTTACCGTATGCGCGCTCGAGAGCTGGCTGGAAAAACTCACTGTGAACTCGAAGAAATAATCCGCGCGAAAGCATGAAAAATGACAACTCACTCAAGTCGGTACACGTACACGTACGTCTGGTTTACAACAAACGAGTTCTTCCTCGTATCGACATGGAGTCAGAGAGGACATGTCGAAAGTGTGGTAAATGTTGACGAGCGGGATGGGTCCCAATTCGTTTCGTGCCCAATTTCTTTGAGCTGCGATGCAATTTACTCTAACGATATCGCGATGTGACGAAAACGACATCGACACAGACTCATTCCCAAGGCCATGACTTGGCAAAGCTATCCGTGTGACTTCGACGACATTTTGAGAAAAGCAGACGCCTGTGAAAGCTGATATAGAAGACGGCGTTGACTCCTAAATTCAAATAAATTGGCGATCTTGAAAATATCTAAAAATCGATCGATCGATGTGCCGTTGTACAGTATTCAACAACACGTAGCTACAGCTACCGTTTCAGTGTTGTGGGTGTGTTCACATGGCATGAACCAGTCAAGTGTCAGTAAGTTCGGCAGGAAACGCCAGCTCCAACAACAACAAGTCGTTTGGCGCAGCCACCTTCTTTGGCTTGTACTTTTTGTACCAGCGTGATCACCAAAACAATGAAAAAAAGTTTGACTTAAGATAGTTTGGGATTTGAACTTACAACTTCATGGTCAGCAGACAGCATTCATAACCACAAGGCCAAAAAGGAAAGGATAAATCGTGGGTTTTGATAAAAAAATCGATACTGACATCCAGGGCAAATTGTAAACCATGGGAAAAGGCCGGAAACCTGGCCGAAATTCTAACTCCTTAACGGCTGGTCCAATTGTTCCGAAACCTTCACAGAACAATTTGCCGTGTCCTAACAAGCCATTCTATGTACTTTGTTGTTCAAATTTCCCTTATCTTCATACTTTTTAAGACCAAAACCTGATTGCTAATCTTTTTGAAATGGACTATAGTTCTTCATTTTCTCTACATCACTAAATCCCCTAGCATCATCTTTCATACCAATGAGCAACCGAAATCTGCGATCATGTATCAACCACGACACATCCCACTTGTCCTTAGGGTTCATGAACGTATGCAGTCTCCGCTTCAAGGTCCATGCTCTAACCGCACTGATCCCCAAGTACGACATCCTGTGTATAGCCGAAACATGGCTAAACAGCGCGATCTCTGACGGAGAAGTACAAATCCCAGGTTATAACCTTACCAGATGTGACCGCGAAAACAGGACTGGAGGCGGTGTATGTATCTACTACAAATCATCACTTCCCATCACGCCACAGCCAAATCTCCGCCTAGACGGCGTGGAAGCCGTCTGGATACTGCTGCGATCGAAGTCCCAGAAGCACCTGTTCGGATGTGTATATCGTCCCCCGCAAGAGCCTGTCGCGTACTGGACTCTCCTGGACTCTGCCTTCCATAGAGCGTCTCTGGTGACAACATCAATGACCGTTGTAGGAGACTTCAATGTGGACATGTTCCGAGGCCAGAGAATGGCGCAACGTCATCACCTTGAAGATGTCGCATCTGCTTACAGCCTCACAAACCACGTGCTGTCCCCGACAAGGATTACACCTCTCTGTCCCCAAGGTAGCACCATAGATTTAGTCCTTTCTACAGAGAACTCAGTGTCAACGTGCACGGTTGTTCCGTCCACCATAAGTGACCACTTTACCGTCCGTGCTACTATGACCTTTACTGTACAGACGAAGAAGTGCGTGCGTGCTCCACCAACACGTAAGCTGCACAAAATCGATATTCCGCTATTTCGCGAGGACCTTAAATATTGCTTTGCGCAAGACTTCCCCTCTGATGCCGATGTCGACACTTACTGGGAGCTCTGGCACGATCGGTTTATGACTGTGTTGGACACACATGCCCCGCTTGTACAAGGGGCAATGAAATCTGCAGAACCTGTGCCTTGGTCAAACCGCGACATTTATCAGCTGGACAAGAAGAAGAAAAGGTATCATCGCCTTTGGCTGGCCGACAAAGGAAATGTTCAACTCCACCAGCAGTACCGGAAGGTTCGAACTCAGGCAACGAACATGTATCGCCGTTGTAGGAATGAGTACTTCGCACGTCAATGCCAAGAACATTCCAGAAACCCCCGCCAGATTTGGAAAGTCATCAATACCGTCACCGGACGCGGGAAGCAGAAAACCGAACCAACCTGCAACATCGAAGAGGTAGCCAACGTGTTTCATGACATTGTGACGGATCCAAAGCGCCCATCATGCCTAGCCTCTCCCGTCGGCCCACTTCCATCGGATAGCCTGCACACGTTCCAGCCAGCCTCTTGTTCCGTAATCTACCGTCTACTAAGTCAAGTCAACCCTGCGAAAGCAACGGGCAGCGACGGTGTCCCAGGATTCCTCCTGAAGTCCTGTGCCGAGGTCCTCACACCATCTGTCACCACACTCTTCAACCTGTCACTGAAATCTGGTGCAGTGCCTGCCGGTTTCAAGTTGGCGGCTGTAAGCCCGCTGTTCAAGTCTGGGGATCCGTCTCAGCCGACAAACTATAGGCCAGTGTCGCTACTTCCGATTTTGTCAAAGTTGCTGGAAAAGCTGGTCCAGCGGCAGCTTGTACGGCACCTCGACCACACCGACGCTATCCCGGAAACTCAGTTTGCATTTCGCCGGCAGCACTCGACGGGTGATGCACTAGCCTTACTGGTTGATCAGCTGCAAATGGCTCGCGACAAGAAGGACTCCTCTGGAGTGTGCTTCCTTGACATGTCGAAGGCCTTCGACAAAGTGCGGCATGCAATTATGATCCAGGACTGCTTTGAAATTGGAGTTGGCGGTACGGTGATGAAATGGCTCGTTAGCTACCTTACAAACCGGACACAACAAGTCCGCATCGGTAGCGAACTGAGCAACATCACAGTATGCACAAGTGGAGTACCCCAGGGATCTGTATTGGGGCCCATCTTGTTCAATATATACACCCGAGCGGTAGCTGCAGTAGCTCACCCGACCCCCAGCATACAATTTGCTGACGATATTGCACTGTACCAAAGTGGTTCCAACACGGCAACTATTTCACTGGGACTCTCGTCATCCGTCACTGCGCTGGCCGACTGGCTCAAAAACCGCGGCCTGATATTGAATGAACGCAAAAGTCAAGTTCTGTCCATCTGTGGGAGGGATGCGCAAACCAGTATCGCTGTAAATTGCCATCAGACCCGCTTACCTGCTTGTACTGCGGCCAAGTACTTGGGTTTAACCATCACCGAGCAACTGACCTGGGACCCTCATATCCACGATGTTACAGCGAAGGTGAACAGGAAAGTCGGAGCATTGTGGCGAGCCCGGCGATCCCTTTCCCAGAAGGCCAGGGTCCAATACCTAAAATCCGTTGTGATGCCCGACCTATTATATGGAAGTGTGGCCTATAGCACGTCCCTCTCAGCTTTCGCTCTAGGGAAACTCCAACGTCTTCAGAACCGTGCCATCCGCGCTGTGTTCAGCCTACCACCCACATCTTCGGTAAGCCACCAAAGGGA